AAGTTAAATTTCGTCCTGAAAGTTGTTTGCAGGATTCGCAGAACTGTATATGAGAACGTAGAGTGTAGTGAGAAAAACGTCTCTAGGTATTAACTTCAGTTTAGTTCATTTTATTTGAGACAAATATGAGTGCGTACCTTCGAACTCCTTAGTGGTTTACATGCAGTGTATTCAGATCAAATAGTTGAAACATGTAGCATTAAATAAATACAAGGGAGGGGGTCAAAGCTGAACAGATAGACGACCAATCTTTACTGTTAGTGGCACAAGTAGATATGTATATAATGGCAGGTAGGTGCTCACCGTTTGGGTACAGAATTCACTAGTCGTATCGCATCTTTGGAAGCTCTCTCGAGTTCCATCAGCAGCCGCGGCTAATGATACAGACAAAATGGTGTTGCGACACCTGAGGCTCTAACCCGCGACTTGTAGGCTAGAAGTCAGGTTTTTACTCAATGAGTACCAGGACCTTGCAGACAAAAAGTGCGACCTCATGTATCTGCGAATTAAGAGATGAATGCCAGTAGGCATAAGCGAATACAGTGCTTACATAAACAAATGTTGTCGAAATAAAGCAAGCAGTATTACAACGAAAATAATTTATGTGCACAAGTGCAAAGACGACATCAGTCGAGTGGTGCGGAGTACTGTATCGATCCAGCTTTCAAATAAAGATCCTTGTGAATGCAGTCATAACAAGATCCATTGACATAGTATTCGAAACTTAGACCATTCTGTTCTAGAAGAAGTATTTTTGCATGTTCAGCCTGGCCCCAGTCACAAGTAGTTTGAAAGAATGACCTCCCAAGAAGTCTCCTGACACAAGACAGCAGTTCTGGCCGCGCATAATGCGCAATTTTGCATCAGGTCACCTCGTAGTTGTCTGTAACTGAAAGGAAAGAAACTGAAATTAGACAAAACCGTGTTTCATAGGCTACTGATCCCTGTCCATTCATGGGTTTGGTTGCACGTCTTTGGACCTTACAGGAATATCTCGGGAACTTCACACAGTGTCGCAGAAAGTATCAAGGCCTGAATTATCTTTGACTAATAATTGCACACCATGTAATATATTTCGAAATATATATAATATCTATATATGAAATTATTATATTAAAGTATATATTATACAATCTGTATATTATATGTATTACAGTATATCATTATTATATATTATGTATTACATATTAAATATATTTTAATATAATATTATGTTATTATACAAAATAATATATGTAATTTTCTACATTGTAATATATTATTTACGATTTTAGAGGCAAATTGGCCACGACAAACTCGGCAGGCCAGTAATATATGCCTGTTTCGCGCAGGCTTCTACCAACAAAAATACCGGCGAGGACACCGTTGCACACTGTGTACAGATGCTCGAAAACACTAAGAAAACCGTTAAGAAGTCGGCCTCTGCCTGGGTTTTCGTCTTTGACTGCACTGGTTAGTTCACAAAATATTTGTTGGTAAAAAAGTGAAAATGTTCGGTCGAAATGAAATGCTGACGGTGATGAGCTCCCCAACTTGTGTAAAACACCACATTACCTACCAGATAGCAGGAAGTTCCAAAAGAAGCCATCTTATTTCACTTTTAATTATCATGTCAACAGTTGAGGAAGCGAGAGTAAACTTACTTTGAAACAGCTACCTCGAATAGTTTTCAGTGGCACGATTCCAGGTATTTTCACAAGGACTTATAAGGCTCGAGAGGAGGCACGGAGTACGAGAACAGGAAAGCGCGCCTAACATACAAATCGGGATACACAGGCGGTAAACACACCAATCTAAAGTTTACATAGCATAAAACGATTAAAGGTCAAGGGCTCCTTCACTAAGCTTCTTGCTCTTTTTTTTAAACCAATTTCTCATCTTCCGAATTCGCGGCGCCTTAAACGAAGGTGTCGTCCGCGTATCGGTGTCAAAACGCAAGTTGGTAGTGGTTTCAAACATTTCTTTGAGTTCCTTCCATGTTATGCCACTGGAGGTGAAGAAGGTTCATTGACAGAATATGACGAGTTGCATTAAATGTTCAATATATAGGGGTCCTCTCGTTCATCTTCCTTTCAACGACAACCTACGACTTGCGTATTGGCTTCTATAGGACTATGATTGCTCGGCCTCCACCGTCGGTACATCACCTAGGGTTTCACCATCTAACAGACGTCAGATCACATTATGAATAAGAAATTATCTGCCGACATCAGAAGCCGAGGTCCATCACCCTCTACTATTTCGCTATTAGAATTGAGGAACAAAAGATTGCATACACAAACGCGTCCTCCCATAATATGTACCTCTAACAATACCCACAGTTCGACTCCCACACCTTTATTTGAAAAAAATACTAACTTCTGCTTAACAGGACAGTGTTATTAAGAATATTTTCAAATATCGCTCTGGTTTACAGTTCCTCCTTTGTACATGCATGTAGAAAATGGACATTTTCTCCCCCAAACAGGAATGACGCTGCCCTGCTGCAATCCAAAATTGGGCCGACAAGTGATGAATGTGTTTGGCGACTACTACCCTGAACGTCTGGGTCAAGCCATCATTTTAAATCATTCAAAATTGTTCTATGGCATTTGGAAGACGATTCGTAAGTTTCTTGACCCCGTAACGGCTAGCAAGATGGTGTTCCTGAAGAAAGACCAGATGTCCGAAGGCCTTAGGGAGCGCTTTGACGAGGAGCTCGCCCAGTGGTTGGAGTCAGAGATCAATCTCAATCGAGAAATTACGGAGGAACAAAAGCGGTTTTGGGAAAAGCCAACACACAGTTCTCATGATCCCAGAGGTTGTCCGGCCTATGTGCAGGAGTACATCGATACCTATTCACACACGTCTGAATATCAACCCCACCCCAATATTGTCGACCTAGAGACTGGCAAGCTGCAGCGGGGTGTTGAACTCCCAAAAGTGCACCACCATCACGAGAAATTTGATCCCATAGACTACGGTATTGAAGACGACATGTCGGTGAATAGTGATATCAGCAATTTTTAAATCACCATATTTTGACGTAGTCTGTGTGAATCTTATAACCTGGAATAAAATTTAAGGCAGAACTGAGCGAAGCTGACTGAGTTGAAAAACATGACTGAAAGTTGGGTGGATGGAAGGGGGTAATTTACTTACCGAACGGTAAAAAAATAACGAGAGAAAGAAACCTCATTTCCCTGAGAAGTTCACAAGTTCACAGTTTATTCTGTGCAGGAGTGGAGATAAGCTTGAAAGAAGTTGACACACGGACAGGCCTGCGTCCGGCCGTAAGGCCGTCATCCGAAGTGTGAGGAAGCGGATTCGTCACGGACGTCCACAAAGCGCCTTTGTGTGAGTCTATCGCAGGGAGTTGAGTTAAACCCTAGCAACTGCGATCTTTAGACCATGGTTCGTTAGTAGAGAAGAAGTCGGTGGAGGTCAGAATAGTATGAATAGTTTATTGTGTACACAGAGGAAGGAAGAGCAATCAGGAAGAAGTTTGACTTGGGCGCACATGACCAGCCAGGAGGCCAGTCGGGTCCAAGTGCCGGTTTGACAGCAATCAGGTAAGTGGGCAGAGAAAGCATTCACGCGTGCAGACTAGCTATTCGTCACCGGGCCAGAAAGTAGCTTTGTGGCTACTGTGATTGGCTGTTCCCAGAAGTCGAGGCCAGTAGTCGTGAGATTTTGGAGGAGTTCACTTCGACGCGAGCTATTCCGACAAGTCAGTCTCAGGGATATTCCTGGCCAGACATGTGTACC